CCATAAAATACAGTAAATTTATTTTATTAACTATAAAAAATGAAGGTTTTCTGTGAATTAATATAATAGTTAATTAAAGATTTTTCACACGGTTAATCAACTGCTTAAGGGTCTATTGAATGAATGTTAAATTACATTGAATTCTATTCCTGAATGTATGTATTTGTATATGTGGGTATTTTTGTAGAATTTTTTTATTGCTGTATTTTGATAGTAAGAGTTAACGTCTTTGTTCACCAAGTTCCTATTTTTCAACCAAAAAAAAAAAATATATGACCTCACATTGTGTCGTTGACGTTTAAACCCTGATTTCAAACTGTCCCCTGACATTAAAGATTTTGGAACAGGTTAGATTTGCTCCGTTTTTTCCGCAGGTGTCAAAGGCGTTCTAGAGAGTTGTTCGAGCATGTGTGTGCGTGTCCGCCAGCTGCTGTTCAGGATCAATAGGATTTTTTTACAGTGTAGTTTTTGTTTTGTCTTGTCGCTGGCTGGCCTCACGGTGTGTGGAGTGTGCATTTTAAACAGGGGCTCAAGGATCTGTTGTTTCTGTTGTGCTCCCCTCCGTCTGATTGTTGCTCACACAGCGAGGATTAAAACCCACAAGGTCACCTCAGGGACTCGAGACGTTTCCCGTGGAAAGAATTCGTACACTAGACAAAAATGCTTAATATCCTTTTAGGAGAAAATGTGCTGTCAGCATGTCAGGATTACAGTACATTGGCATCACGAGTGTGTACAAGTACCACACATTTCCTATTTTATTCTTGGAAAACATTAGTCAGCGGTTTAAATTGTGGATTTCATGTTTTACAATCAAACCCTTTACATAAAAAAGCCTTCTTTTGTAGCAGGAAACTACCTTTAGAGGGCACACAGATAATCTTTGTTTGAAATGAAGCAAATCCAACGATCATGCTGCTGTGTGACACCACAGTAAAAACAGGAATAATCACTGCAGGAACAGAACATTCGCAAGACATCGCAGCACCGATTCGATAAATAATAAAATGTCCAGACACGCAGCACAACAGCTGCAGCGTGGCATGAAATCTATTCTCCCTGGACAAACTCGCACCAGATGCATGATCTCCGGCTGATTCCGAGAAGTCAAAGGCCCTCTTGTTTCGCAGAAGCTGATTTAAAAGACGACCCTCAATCTAGTTTTATGAGTCTGATGATGTTGAAAATCAGGGAACACTTTGCTCGGTTGTCCTCTGGTCACCCTGCAGGCCACTCGATTTATCCCGCAGCCATCACCCCCTTCGTTTGCAAGCCTCTGTTCTGTCAGTCCCTTCACTCACCTTCTCTAAACTCTTTCCCCTTGAATGTTTGATTTATGGATCACGGTGGCATCTCTGCCAAAATGGGCAAAACAAAAGTACCATCAAATATTTCTATTTGCCCCATCTCTGTCTCCTTCCTCTCTTTAGATGATGGCACACTGAGCACTGGTCATGCTGATGTGTTGCTGGCTGAGAGACGAGGCTCCTACCCGCTGATTGACCTCCGCGTCCTGAAAAGTAAGCCCCCCCACACCCAAATACAGCGAACAATAATTGTCAGTCCACCAACACAAAACGTGGTAAAACTAAACTGTTCAATTTTCCTGTATTTCCAAATGTTTCAAACTTTAAAGTGTTTATATAAATGTTTCTATTTTCTTATACAGTGATAGACAAAGACAAAAATGATTAATCATGAAAACCTATAACACAATAATAAGAGCTAGTATAAATGTGATACCTGCATGTAAGTGCAGACAGGTCAATACTCATTTTGCTGCTTTCATAAGTGGGTCACTCTGTTGTCTACTTACCTGATGGAGCCCGAACACGACAGAGCTGCACACACTCTATGAAAACCACTCACTCACACGTAGCCAACATTTATCATGTGCTGTGTGACGTCCGCTCAAAACTAACTGCGTCTGTGTAATTCCAGCCAGTCTCCAGCGAGGGGAGGTAGAGTCCGGCACCAGGAAGAAAGTCAAGCGTCTGCTGAGCTTCCAGAGATACTGCCACGCCTCCCGGCTGCTCAGGGGGTTGGTGCCCCACACCCCCGGGTCCCTACACCTCCTGGACGACGACTACCTAGGACAGGCTGCGGTAAGACGGACGCACGCTCACATGCACACGCAGTGGTGCAGGGGTACAGGTATCCCCAGCTCATATGTGAATCACACATCAGCTCTAACAGCTGTTTTCTTTTGTTACAGCACATGTTATCAAAAGTTGGAACATGGAACTTTGACATCTTCCTCTTTGATCGTCTAACAAATGGTAAAATGGCCGTGCTGCTGACTTTCTGTCCTCATTGTCATTTTCTGTACCCTGTTGCTCTTGTGTTTTAACATTTGATTATTTGTGCCTGTGTATGTGTGTTGCAGGAAACAGCCTGGTGACTCTGATGTGCCATCTCTTCAATGTCTACGGTCTCGTTCAACACTTCCAGCTGGACATGGTCAAACTGCACAGGTTTCTGGGTAAGCTGCGAGAAACGCAACCCTGATTCAACCCATCTGCCCCCCCGTCCTGTTCTTAAACAACTTGAGGAGTTTGATATAAAACATTGCCAAACTAAATGAATCCAGTGATTAATATTCATCTGCAATTTTGTTGTAAATCTGTCAAATCTAACAAACTTTCTGTACCAGAGTATTTCTTTTGTTTCATGCGATGTTTACCTTCAATTTTGGGGGAACTGTTCTGTCATCCATCTTTATAAACTGTCTATGGTTTGACCTCATCTCCTGTTTTGCCAGGTATGGTGCAGGAAGACTACCACTCCCAGAATCCCTATCACAACGCTGTTCATGCAGCAGACGTCACCCAAGCCATGTACTGCTACTTGAAGGAGCCCAAGGTAATAACAGTACTGTATTCACACGTGCACACATACACCCTTTTTCACTCTGTCACTGATTCCCCAGGCACTAGCTTCTCCTTCAGACATATTGTATAGCTACATTAGCTTTTCTCCCTGAGGGTAATTCCTGCTCACTTAGACCCAGCAACATCCATCCACAGTCTAGAGAAGTCTCCTGAGCAGATTAAGTGTTGCTGCATCGTCCGCTGTTGCTCTGGGAATCACTTAGTGATGCAGAGATTTTATTAAAAGCACACATGCTGGTGTGCTTTAGATAATAAACCATCAATATACCATTTTGTCCTTTTCTGACTGTTAAGTATGTAGGCGGTCCTACAGATGTTGCCCAGGATGCATTTGTGTTCACACAGCGAAAAATAATGTGTCCACATGCGTCCAAGACCACCTCTGGATTGTAGAGTAAGTCAGGGTGCATTGAGGACACATTCAGATGAGTTTGCACTTAGAGGTGACCACTGAGTTCACTCAGTACGGATAATAATACCAGGCTTAACTGGGTCAGTGTATTAGGACAGACTTGTTAAGGCTCAGTAATCCAGAATATAAATATTTAGGTTGAAGGTCAGGTTTAGGTTATTTTCATCTTTATTCAGAGGGTGTTAGATTAAAAAATTGTGTGTTGAACCACAGTCAAAACAATGAAAACATAAAAATATAATCTTTTTACTCTGCACTGTTCTCTTACAAAATCAACCACCAAAAATAACTAAAATCTTGGCTCTCTAGAATCTTAGATTAGCAGATTATCATGTTTCATTTGAAATAAGGGCACGTGTCTGTGTTGCAGCTGGCAGAGCAGCTGAGCCCTCTGGATGTGTTCCTGGGTCTGATGGCAGCAGCCGCCCACGATGTCGACCATCCCGGCGTCAACCAGCCCTTCCTCATCAAGACCAGACACCACCTGGCATCTCTCTACCAGGTACACATAATCAAATCATGTTCAAGTAATATATTCAAGTGCGGTCGTTAGCCAATCAAATACTCAAAGTTCCAACTGAGTGTGTTTGAAAACCCTTTGTTAATCGTACTCGTCCTGAACAGAACACATCCGTCCTGGAGAGTCACCACTGGAGGTCGACTGTGGGCATGCTGCGAGAGTCAGGACTGCTGTCTCACCTGCCTGCTGACATGTCGTAAGAACACACACACACACACACACACACACACACACACACACACACACACACACACACACACACACACACAGCAACCCAAACAAATATTTTACAACATTTTATATCTCACTCGTTGATTGAAGAATTGTGACCAAGATGCAAATGCACTTGGACGTCACTTGTTGTCCCCTGCTTATTACTCAGTGTAAACCATAGACTGGACATAAAATGGACACAGACTGGGGGTCCAGAAAGTGAAGCTAATGTAGAAGTGCTTGAAACCTGAATTCTTTTAAATGACCAGCAGAGGGCGACTCGTCTCGTTGCATTATGAAGTCAGTTTCTATTTGAGTCATATGAGAAGATGACTATGACACATATTTTGTGAGCCTGTACTGCAAATACTGAAATATTTATAAGCCAACATGTAAAATTATATATTCACAAAAGTACATAATGCATAATTAATAACCACAACACACCAGCACATTTCATATGGTTCAAGGTTTTTATCATATTCTCCTTCCAGCCTGTATAGGAAAGTCAGGGTCAGTTAGAGACACTGACACAGGAGCTCTTCATTTACCATATCCCTGCAGAGAGCAGTAGAAAGTGTAGAGTTTGCACCAGGACATGATAAATCACCAATATACTACACTTACCTGTATATTTTTGAGCTGAACTTCAGGACAGGCATCAGTGTCACCCCTTCTGCTCTGCAGGCAGGACATGGAGCAGCAGCTGGGCTCTCTCATTCTGGCGACAGACATCAGCCGGCAGAATGAGTTCCTGCTGACCCTCAGAGAACATCTGGACAACCAGGACCTGGACCTTCAGCTGGCTTCACACAGGCATTTTATGCTGCAGGTATACTGCACACCCACCTCACAATATGCCCGTGTTCACAACAGTGTAGTATATCCAACCAGTTACCACACACTTTCTAATTCTTATGTGGAATTATACAACAGTACATGTGAATCTCTCTGCCCTCAGATTGCTCTGAAGTGTGCAGACATCTGTAACCCGTGTCGGGTTTGGGAGCTTAGCAGACAGTGGAGTGAGAGAGTGTGTGAGGAGTTCTACAGACAGGGTGAGTCAAGTGTCTTCCTCCAAATCAAGATGAAAAAAACATCATTTGAGAACATGGTTGTGACATTTGAAAATTTTTGAAAGTACCTTTTTAATTTAACTATTAATTGTGACACTTTTTGAGACACTTAAAGCAACAAAAGAGAAACTGAATACTTTTGTTTGTACCTTCTGTTTGTTTGAAGTCATCATTTTTATTGTATTTAATTACAGGTGACCTGGAGAGAAAGTTTGACTTGGAAATCAGTCCTCTGTGTAACCAGCAGGCGGACTCTGTCCCAGCCATACAGATGGGTGAGTACAAAAGACACACACACACACACCAAGGTCATTATGTCTTTGCGTGTCCCTGACAGAAGATGTTCAGGACTCACTGAGAGGAGGCTGCAGGTGAACTCAGGTTCAGCATCTACGTCTCACCCTCCCTGCCTTTTGCTGTCGTAGGTTTTATCTCCTTCATCGTGGAACCTCTGTTTGAGGAGTGGCAGCGTTTCACTGAGCCCAGCCTGCTCAGCCAGACCATGATGGGTCACCTGCACAAGAACAAGGTCCGCTGGAGCCGCCTGCGATACGCACAGACCACATCAGACACACAAACGCACCCTTCTGATGACGAGCCCGAGCCAGAAGGAGGGGGCGGAGAGAACATCCCTTAATCTTCTGCCTGTTTCTCGGGGTGTTTTAATCTTCCTTTGTCAGTGGAGCAGAGGAGTGTTTGTCAAACCTCCTTGTTTGTCCTCCAGCGTATTTCCTCCCACTCCTGGGTGCTCACAGTGGGAGCACAGGATCAGAGTCTGGCCTGGATTACTGAGATATGGCTCCCTCTGCTGGTGCAGAGGATTATAACACTGCAGGAAAAAAAGACTGGGACAAATCCATGATTGAGGAAAAGGATGGATGTTTTAGTAAATAGATGCCAAATGACAAAGTAACATCACGCTCTCAAACTGTGTGAATTCTTTCACATTTACCGAGGCATGGGCGTAGAAGTGAAAGGTAACGATTGATGACAGAAGAAGGATCAGCAGAGACAAATGTGCACACTGCTGCCAGAATGATAAAGAAAAGCCAAAACTATAGACGATTCTAACAAGTCAGCTGGACTGTTCTTTAAAAGATGTTATGAGATAAGAGGATTATATGAATATATCAACTATACTATTCTTTTTAAACTTTTAGATAACACATATTCAACTCTTTTCACTTCTCTCTTTTTGTACAGCTGGCACTTCGGTTGGATGCGCCGCGTTTCACTGAAGTGCGTTTTAACTCTAAGCACTGAGTTGGTATGTCAAGGTATCGTAAAGTTGTATTCTGTTTTATCCTGCAAGACTGATTCTATCACTCACTGACACAAAGTGGCTTTAGCCGAGCAGCTCAAACTCTGATTACCAATCGTCACCAGGATGTCATCGGCCTCCGGCTGACTCACAGTTGTGGAAAACACAAGCGAGAGCCTTTTTGTCTTTTTTATCCAAGTGATGTTGCAAACAGAGAAATCTGTACCCACTGTGATGTACGACCACATCTCTTCACATGCCAAAATATCCAGCCATGTGTAAACCTTTTTACTGGATATCAGGAAACACAACTCTCTCTTACCTTTGTAACAACTCGATGGGTGCGTTTATTTATCCAATAACCTCACTCTTACGAGCCTTAACAGCTATTTGGTCTCTGTGAAATACTGTTTTTGGAAATCCAGACAAAACTTTTCTTACACGGTCAAGTTGTTATTGCCTGTTTTTTCTTCAGCCATACCAGCAGAATGAAACACACTGTTTGTTTCAGTGTTTGGGTCCGACTTGGCCTCACACTCAGTACCAAGGTGCCAACGTACTATTCTGATACACTCACCCACTGCTCTGTTACCTCTCTAAGGCTTTTCTATATCACTGTCTTTTTAACACTGGGAGCAGGCACTGTATGCACTGTATCTTATATAAATTGACTTGGGCCAATTGGTAACTACTGATACTTTTAATTCTCACATCTAATTCATTATTTACTGCAGTAAATATCAAGTGAATAATACAGATAATTATGTACTGTCATTCATTATTCGAATGTGTAAGATTTAATTGCCTAAAATGGTACTTAGATGTATAATCTGAGTGGTGAAACTGATCCACGTGGAGCTGATGCAACTTAGAAAAGTATTTGTAAATATTAGTTGGTCCAGGTGTAAGAGGTACTGATATAAAACAGTAGTATTTTGCCTCTCGGCTTGAAATATGTACAGATAAGGTTTTTGACTCATGTTCGACATGGTCGAGGCTGAGTGCACGGTGCCAACAGAGGCCCCACGTCTTCCCTTAGCTATGACAGAAGAATAAACCTGAGCTTTATGGTTCTAACAATCCAGTCCAACACATAGTCTATTCTAGAGACAGCTCAAATATTCAGAAGTTGAGAAACCAATAATATAATAATGAATTTATGTGAGGTCTTTTTTAAAAAAAAAAAAAAAGAAAAGTACACTAACTGTAATATTCACCTTTTCTATGAGGTGTGGTGCAATAAAGTTAGGTCACTGGCCATGTTGTAAGGAAGAGGCCATGTTCATTTCTATCTATAGCTCTGGTTGTTTGAGTTCCTACGTCCTCACTTTAGCACTTACTGAAACTCCCATTATACGTAGAGCCACCTGCTCGTCTGAAGTGTGCACTGCTGTCACTGTTCCTGATCTCGCTACTGTCACGAGGTCACAGACTATCTCTGGAAAGCCGCCACTGATTCCATTTACTGTAAGATACACACTCACTCATAGTTACCTACTGACCGATTCAGCTTTCAGAGTCGAGAGCTAACGAACGGCGTGAAACGTCACTAAATACTACCTAAAACTGCAGTATTTTTACTCTACGCAACTTTTACATGTCACTGCTGTAGTGTAGACATCTAGTTGAGATAAGCATGGGCTGCCTTGTATTTGAATACCTCTCAGATTCTGCGACGATACAGGGTGTCGAAGCCATACTGGTTTTAATATCAAGAACAAATAAGTACTGAAAGTCTTTATTAACTGTTTTTATACCACAGGGATTATTATTATTACTGTACCAGATAAGTAGCATCTTATTAAAAAGAAGTCTGTCAAAGAGATTCAACTAGTATATATATATATATATATATACACACACATATATACATATATTACAGTGCCATTATGAGATCGAAAACAAGAATTCAGCAGAAATATCAACTTGTCGGTAAACTATAAATATTTTTTATGCATGTGCACTGAGATTATTTCCTTTTTTATGACCTGAGTAAAGTTCCATCCATGTTCAGAAGTAATCACTGAGCTCAATCAACCAATCCTGAGGTTCTGCTCCACCCCAGATTTAACTGTGTAGCCCACTAATCAAATTTGCACCACTGCTATCAGTAGGAAGTGGAAAATATCTTGTTTGCGCTAAATGTTTTAGACTCAATCAAAAGCCACTGTCACTGAGATAAGTTTCATTTAAATGTTGTTTTTTTTCTGTATTTTGCTCAACTGTGATCGACCTGCAGCCAAAACACTGAGACTGATGTGAGACAAAGCAACAGTTGTAGAGGTAGTGTCTCTCCATCATATCAGGTGGTCTTCATGAATCCGGTTGTCGCGGAAACTTAAATGTCCATCATCTCTAAATGGGTTTTAAGATTTATATTGTCCATGTCAGATTTAAGGTAGAAACTCAGAAACTCATTCTCCAACTCGAACAATCTCCTTCTTTTCTTTTCCATGCACATGTTAACTACTTTATGGACTTAAAGCAACACTATGCAACTTTTACTGAGCGCCCTCTGCAGCCACGAGTGGTTGTCCCCGGCTTCCTGAACCAGAGGAGCCGCCGTTTTAACAAATACACCAAACTTTGTTTCGAATTCTTGATGTTTTCTATATGATATCTCTGGTGTGAGTATTTTTAACTGATCTACAGTTCGGCATTACTCTTAAACTTGCTGGACCCAATTCTGGGGAATTAAACTGACGACTATCTGTCAGTCACCGATCCTACCCGCTCACCAAAGTTACACAGAGCAAACACTTATGAAGCTGCTATTGTAAAGTAAAAAAGTGACATAATGTTGCTTTAAAGTCTTAAAAGTAATAATCAGCTTAATAGTTATTGTAGAACTTTTGAATGAAACCTTTCAAATGAAGCTCTGACGTCTTGACTGTAAACATCTGTTCTGATAACCAACCTCTGAGCACTGTGAACTACAAAATAAATGTTTTTCAATTAACGTCACACACATATTACTGTGCTTTGTCTTCCAAGAAAATGCGATTGCCCACTAGATGGCAACACAAGCATATGCACTCCCACTCTTCACAGTGTGTGTGTGTGTGTGTGTGTGTGTGTGTGTGTGTGTGTGCCTGCTGCTTTGTGCACAGTGTAAATACAACACACAGCCTGTGACTCAACATAGCCGGGGGCCAGGGGCTTGCATGTAAACAAAAAATAATATAAAGTAAGAGGAATCACAGGCTGACATCATATCACATGAGGTAAAGTTGCCTTCAGTCGCAGTTTGCAGAACAAACAAGAGAATTTGAGAAGCTGAATGAGTCACAGTTTAATCATGAAACTTTACACTCAGGTGTTTTTTTTTTTCTTTAAGGTGGCTGGAAGTATTTTCTCCTGAACACAGAAAGTTTATAAAGCAGAATTTGATGTATGAGGGTCAAAAGTGGAGGAAACATAAAGTGAATGTCAAGAGGATTTATGGGGATTTAGTATTCAAAAGAGACGAATAAAGAAATGTGAAACGGCTGTAAATACAATAGATATCACTTACACTACTGATACAGTGACTGCAGACACAGACGGTCTGTCACATTTGCATATCTCGGATTTGCATTGTAAATGAGGTTTGTAGATTGTGGCAGAGTGCACTTGTGATTGGTCACCTATTAAATCAAGTTACACCGAACTCATTGAGTTTTAAAAACTTTATCTTGACAGAGGCTCGTTTCAAAAGCCACAACTCAGATCTTTCAAGCACTCATATACACTCACATATACACACACACACACACTTACTCCCTCACACACATATATACATGCATACCCAAAAACTGACATACATACACACATACAGGTTCACATATATGCATATACACACACAGATATACACATGAGTCACTCTAGACAAGATAAGAGTTACGTTTTTAAGACTCTGCTCATCAGAGCATTACATCTGACAGCCATTCATACCGATAACACTGTCTTTCTGCCTCTCTCTCACACACACACACACACCCAACTCATCCCATGTCGGTGAGTACTCATCTAGCATGTGTCACTGTAAATATTGACACTGCAAACAAAGCCCCCTCTCCTTCCCCTTAAATGACAGTCAGCCAATCCAACCACTCCCCCTGTGAAAACACTCGCTCCATCAGCCCTTTGTGCTGATAACCATCTCCCTCCAAATGCAAAACTTGGAAAAGGCCGCTCTTACTTTCCTGTAGCATTTTTCATCCCTGTGCTGTGAGGGTGTGAGAAAATGGCAGGAATCACTTGCTGCATTACACAGTATTCACCTCCATTTATATATTCACTTATTTCTATGTTTTACAGAATTTGAGCCAAAAATGTCGAGTGAACACTGACACCTCCCCAGCCTCGCTGCAGAAAGATGAAGAGTAATGGGTGTTTGTTTGGAAAGTGAAAAATGAAACTCATGTTCTGTGTCACTCTGTCTGTCTGTCTGTGGTCTGTACTGAAAGGGTTAACGTCTTGTCGTTAGTCGGTGTGTCTGATGTATTCTCCCTTTCTTTCTGTCTTTGAAAAATGTCAAAATGCAGCAACTCTTAACACCACAGCAAACGCCTCACTATTTTACTAAATGTTTCTTTTTTTTCTTCTTAAAGAGGAACATACTGTACATACTGCACACTATGTGTCACCATATAGAGCAAATCAGCGATTCTATTTTCACCTTCATGAAATGAGGAACTATTACAGACCCCCACCACTTCAAAGTCAGGCCAGAGGGGTAGAGGCAGTTGAATTGTCAAAGTAGCTGCCCCAGTATGATCTATTCTGACCTCTTGTGAAAAAAAGAGCACTAAACTTAAGTGCAGCCCTCATCCTGAGTGTGTGTGTGGGTCTGTGTGTGTGTGTGCCTTATATTTTACAGTTGGTGCCCCTTAGCGTCACTGTTCAACCATCATCCCCCAATACTCCAGAGAGAAATTTAGTACATTTCAACTCAAGATCACTGTGCTGCTCTGTTCCTTCATCACTCGAGCAGGTTAACCCTGTCTTTCACAATGTGTTGCATCTCATCACTAATGGTACATTTTGTCCTTCTGATTTATTTGCGCATTACAACACTGGATAGATCTTAAATCTTTCAATTCAATAAGTTCTTAAGTACAAACCAAACTAAATTATTAAATTCTCTCTTGGAGAACTTATCATTAGACATGTTCTGTGGTGCTTGTGGTTTGACTTTGTGAGTGATGCTACTTTAGTCATCTTTTCTACATGTGTATTTAAAGTTTTAAAATGTTTACATCTGACTTCCAGACTTTGATCATCAAAGGAAAACTGCAATTAATAATATTTTGTTTAGGTTAAATCTCATTCAAACTAGTTTGTTATGATAAAACCCACAATTCACTTATAACATTTCACTGGATTTTAGAGGGTTTACACTCCACTACATTCCTGTGATTGTCTCTGTGCGACAGGTGGTTTCCATGCAACTATGTAGTGGAATGACTAAATTGTTGATGTAGGGGGAAATAAAAGGGTTAATTAGTCATGCAGTATGTAACACGTAACACACAAATGCTCTGCAAACAAATATGCACACTATCAATATCCAGGAGCAGAACATGTTTGCAGTCTTCACTGTGTGTGTGTGTGTGTGTGTGTGTGTGTGTGTGTGTGTGTGTGTGTGTGTGTGTGTGCGTGTGTGTATGTGCGTGTGTGTGTAAAGATATCTTATCTTACTATCTAAACCCCTATCCTTCTGCTGTCTGACCCTAAAGACACACAACCCCCAGCACACCTGTCACATTTCACCTGCTCAGTGTGTGTGTGTGTATGTGTGTGTGTGTGTGTGTTTGCAGTGGTTAACATTACCCGTCAAACAAGAATCTTTTTGGGCGCTTATCATTTAGGACAGTTGTGTGTTATATTAACTGCAAATCTGTCTAAATACCCATACACAACAATTACTTTTGTTTGACTGTTGTGTCCTCTGTGAACAGAAGAGGAGACAAATATAATCCTTTCTGGCTTTTTGAAAGACTTCTGGCATTTGGAGTGAAGCCAGAGGACCAAGATCAACCTCTGGGGCAATTTACAGCTGCCCATGAAGTTCAGTTAGACGAAGATGATGATAAAACAAATCAAGGTATTAATACTCTCAGTCAGAACATTTAAACACCTCCGACTTTCACTCAGCCTCTATTTCTACAACCCACAAATTTGAGCTTGAATCCTTCATAGGGTTGAGCAGGCCCAAAAGATATTTCTGCATAGCTTGAGAACTTTTGATGAATAAAGAGTGAAATGAAGGATAACCTTGGTGATTTATTTTTAGACTTTCATAAAGATGGGATACGCAATACTGTCAAGATCAAAACTTCGGAGGCCGAGATTCTCCAGTTTTTAGTCCAGAGTGTGGGAAAAGCTCTTAGAAATAGGCAGATTGAACCTTTAAAAGCCTTTTTGAACATTTCCTTTAATTTTTTCTTTATATTTGAAATAGTTTGATATTGAAATGATTTTAATCTGTCAATACCCATCCAAAAGTAACATCCATAAAACACTAATGCAAAACAATTATTGTAAAGGGGACATTTGAGTGTTTTATTGCACGTGTTCACCACATACATGAAGCCAAATGTGCAGTTCCTCTTCAGGCCTGTCGAGGGAATAATGTACCAGCAGCTTCCTATAAGTCACACTACCTCTTGTTATTACAAGTTCAGTCCAACCTGCTTGTCCTGTTCCTCCAGCTCTGTATCATCAGTCCAGTCATATTGCCATCAAAGCCACAATTATACAGACTCAGTAATATTGTTGCTGCTGTAAACACAGTGCTTAGTTTACGATTCATCCGTGAGTGCCTCTGTTTATTTTGTCTAGATTTCTGGGGATTTGGGGATGTGTAATGTTTGTTTGTGGTTCGCAGGGCCAAGTTTTATTTGTGGTTGTGTTTGTAGTTTTAATCCTGGAGACAAACCCTCAATTCCATCATTTATTGTCATTTTGAATCAACAGCATTTTAATCTCTACACATAAGTAACTAAAATGCATGTTTCTTGCTTTAAATACTCTAAACTACTGCAGAAGCACTTGGTGTGAATCAAGTTTTCATTAAACTCAAAGGGATCATCTTTGAAATGAAGGCAGACAGCAGCCAGGGCACAAATACTTTAACATCAGACTGATATGGATCCTTTAGAAGCTCCAAAAGAGTCGTAACATATCTTTGTGTGTGTTTAATGTTCATTTATTGGCTCCTCCTGTGACACATGGATGGTTGGGTAGATGTTGTGGTTTTATAATTTAATATTTAACATGCAGTATTGTAATTGTTTCCCATTTGATCAGATATTTTGATAATAGTTGGCATGCATTAGTGCCTTGACAACTGACACCTTAGAGTTGCTGCAGGCTAATGTGGAAAGATTGTGGAGAAGTTCAG